CCCATTTCCCAAATTTGAAGACATGAGGACTGGTTTGAGACTTTTGCCCAGCACCTTACTTCTGGATGGACAGACAATCCACATTAGACCCGCCACTCCAGTGACAAGTCTCAAATGTTTCACGCGCAAAACACTCGCGTACACTCACCAGAATTCACCATCCTCGCTGCGGTTTTGGAGACGACTTCTGGCAGACGGATCAATAGAGTCCCACTCTCTGGCACTGAAAGTTTAAAAAAATAATAATAATAATAATTAAATTGAAGTCCTGGACCCAGTAAAACAGCTGGAAAATTCCTTTCAGTGGCATCCAGGCTCAAAGGAAAACTTGGTGATTCTTAATTGCATAGAACAAAATAAAGAAATCATACTTATCACTCCAGGCTCCGGTCCATTCCACTTCTCCCCAGGGGTTCCTGATGCGAACCAGCTTTGTCATGTTTCCTCTGTACGACACCTACACGCAAAGAAACACACACACACACACACACACACGTTTTGCATCTGCTTCACTTGTTCTTCTTTTTAGTATCCTGCGCACATTTGTGTGACTTGGGTAACATGACAGAAGTCAAGTGCAATGTCTGATTTTGTATTAACGGTGTAACTCCAATGTTTTTCCGTACTGCAAAGGACGCTTGTGCTGTGCCCAAAACAAAAGCCAAAGAGAACAAATTCAACACAATTTCATTTACATTTCTTTATAATATGCTGTACGTATGGGTGAAGGGTAAAGGAAAAGCCCGTGCAAAATAAATGCACTGCCTTTTTGGTTAGGAAAACTCGTTGGTTAAACAAATGTCAAACAGATGCATTAAATACAGAAAATAAACACACACACTGCCTAAGCCTGGTTTCTTTAGTTATAGTTGTTTGTGTGATGTGCATAGATGTATATACGTCTCTAAGCTGCAGTAAACAGCAGAGCTGAGCAGTCTGAATATCATTAGTATCGATACCAAACCTGATCAATACCCAGTTTCAAAATACATGAAAATCTGAAAGGAGTTTTATGTTGTGTTAAATAATTTTTGTAGACCTCACCTCTTCCACACCAGTCAGGGAGTAGGCATGTCCCTTCACCAGCTTTTTGAAGGTGACGGCCTCCATATCATTTGCACTGGTGATCTGAGAATGAGGCAACACAACAAAAAGAGTCAAACAGAGTTAACCAGGGGTTTGTGACGTCTACGAGGCAATTCACACAAGTGAAAGTTGACTCTGCTCATCTGGACGTGGCGTTTTCACTCATCCGTGTGACTTCTTTAGTTTCAGCTGACTGCAGGTTTCCCCCGACCTTAAACGGTACGTTTGCATAATGACCCAAACTGGCACCACTGACTAACAACTGTGGGGCTGCGAGGTCAGTTTCATGATCGTTCATATGAGGAATGGCTGCAATCACAGCTTTGTAAAAAGGTGAATGACGTCCTCGCTGACTCTTTTCCATGGATGAAGACAATCAGAATGACGGTAACAAAGACAGGAGAAGATGTACGCGCGTACTTTTGCAGGTCAGTGAAATCAAACGATATAATTAGCAGTCACTCTCACAGCATGGCACATTCATTAAAAGCAAAAATCTCAAAGAATAAATCTACAATGTAAATATAGAAGATTTTTCCTGTGTCATTTAAACCTAAGCACAGAAACACAAACGGACTCCGTTTATTCGTTCCTGTTCGTGTCAATCATTTATAATTTCATCATCTGTGGAAGAGAAAACGCATTTCCTTTTTAATTTTGCTCTTTGGACCCAAGTGAAACAGGGAGGACTGAACAGGGAGGCCTGAACTGATTACAGAAGTTCAGTCCTCCCTGTCTGCAAACACAAGCTTTGCTAAAGTGTCCTTGACAGTTGCACTGACTTCCTGCCAGCTCCAGACCTTTCCCTGTCCTCACTGCCCCCTCCTGGTTTTCCATACACGGGCTTTGTTTACAGGACCCTCCTGAGCCCCAGTGGTGATACTGAGGAGAAGACTTTTCTGACTTTTAGTTGCTGGTCCACAGTTTATGTGGATCTCTGAACTGTAAGAGATATAGCAAAATCTCTCATATTAAAAAATGAATTGTACACTGGAGGAAACTGGAATGTGTGACAGTAAATTTATGTATGGATTGTTGTTAAAGTAAAAAAAAAAGAAGCATTTTCTTACTATGAACCTTGGACTTGGAATAATTTACATGAATATAATATAAAAACATGCCTTCATTGTGTTGAAAAGAGTAAGAGTTTGATCCCAGTGGGAGTTCCCGGTAAAATAAAAGTAACAATAATGAATGTTGCAGTACTGACGTCAATCGAGCAGCCAAGAAGTGATCCTCTTTCAACAGCTCTGCGGATGATGCTGAAGAGGTCCGAGGGGGCTTTGTTCAGATCGTACATCTCCGTCACACCTCCAGTAAAGTCTTCAAAACCCTCACATGTGCTGCCGCCTGACAGAGCCTCATAACAGCCATTCAACCTGCGACACAGAGAAACAGAAATTAAATGGAGTCCCACTACAAAATAAATAAATATACTGCATAGTTTAATATTAAGAGTTGAGGATTAAACCTTAATATAAAAATAAACTTGAGAGCTCCCATTTAAAAGTGTCACTGCTTAACAATGTGCTAAAATACCATATATGGCTGCACAGGAATATGTGTAATCTCACTTTTACGTCACACTCATCCAGGAAGCTCTCTTAACTCGGAAGCCGTAAACTTACAGGAACAATGATGAGTTTCTCCAACACAGCCAGCCAAAACTTACAACCGGGGCCACAGCTGTCCACTCAAGCAGCTGTGTTTCTTCAGGCCCTCTTTAAGAGCTTCAAGTATTTCTCAATCATGCTTTTTGGCTTGTGGACAGGGAACATTTGTTCTTTCGAGAATGCATCAGAATTGACTGAGTGTAAACGCAGGCTGCAAACAGCAGAAAGGCTCAATGACAGTGTAAGAAAAATAGATAAAAGTGAAACCATAACATGTCCAAGTGCAGATAACATAGGTAACACACAGAATTTGGATCAATCAATAATTTACAGGTGATTACAACTTATCATTCAGCTACTTGTAACACATTTTACAATCTTTTTGCATCTTTCTTACATGCTCATGCTGCAGTATTGTTAGGTTTGTGTTTTTAGGCTGTTGTTAGGTGGTTGCTATGCAACATCACGACATCCTAACTAAGATATCGCAGTTAACCAATTTTTTGTGAATATAAATGACATGGTATTGTCAT